GAGGGGCTGGTTGGGGTACAAGGGTGCTTCAGTGTAGGGCTAGCCAGCAGGCAGCCCCTGCGCTGAGGCACCCTTGTGCCCCAACCAGCCAGGGCAGCATCTACACATGCGCTACTGTGCTGTAAAAAACTCTGCTTTTATTAGCTTCCTGTGGCCTAAAAGAACCGCACATGAAGACACAAGCTGTTTACTGCAGAGCTAATTAGTCTACTCCGCAGTAAACATCTCATGTAGATGTGCCCGCTGGCATCTAATCTGTCTGTCTGCTTGTGTCATTCTTGTGTTGGTGCACCATCACCATAGCCTTGGAGTGCCTTAGCCTGAGTTATATATCTATTTACTAAATATTCATGCTGGGTTATGTGTGGTTCCTGCTTAGCCAGGAGTGGGAGCAAATCCTGCACTCATCTCTACTTCAGAATTGATTAATTTCCATGAGAGTTTTGTTTCAGCAAGGATTCAGCTCTCAGATAGCATCTGTACCAGTGATGATGGTGTATCAGACAAAGCATACTACTTTCTCACAGTAACATCTTGACTCAGAATAGCTGATGGAAGTAAAGTTAAGGTTTTAATTTTTTTTTTACTGAATTATCTATCATTAAAAAATTTGCAGGCAAATGATAAGTAGAGTAAACATTAGGAAGTCTTATAGGGTCACTTTGGGGAATCAGCACACTTTACCATCTTCAAATACAAGTGCCTTGCTAAAATACCTAAAACCCATATCCAGGTTTCCAAATCAGCTCCTAATTTTGCACATCTCTTTTCAAAGGCCAGTTTGAGACCCCACTTGTAGAGATTTCATCTCTTGACACAGCATGTTTATTACTAAACTAGGATTTTCTTCTTTTTTTAAAAAAAGGCTAATTATTTCATATTCTTACTTTTCTGGAGTTACCTGGAGTGAAGTTTCTAGATTTTTTTTTAATTTGCTACCTACTCCTTCCTTGATTATTTTTAACATACTGATGATGCTAATTACCACAGTGCTATACGTTAAAGGGAACTTTAACATGCTTTAACATATCGTTGGTACCAAAGTTTAGAGTTAATTCTATTGTTAGTAGGTCCAATTCTGACAGATGCCACGCTCCTGTAATTTCTGCTGACCTCAGTGTGAAAGACAGGCTCTCTAGATCTGGGTTAATGTGTACAGTTGTGACTGTTGTTAGAGTAACTATAGGAATGTTAAATAACATATCCAGACACTGTGACATACTTAGGTAACAGGTAAACTGCAAGATGTATAATATACACATTTTATATGCTTCTCTGCCTCTTTTTTAGTTGAGTGTCAACAGTTTTCTCCCTAAGCTAGCATACTACCTGAAGTTACAAGATTTAATAATTGTTTATATATAAGCTATTTTGCACTACGTTATTTCAGTCTCTAATCAGTTCAGCTAAGCAATATTTTTTCCTTTAAACTTTATTCCAAGCATAAAGCCCATGCATGACATTTATAGGGTTTCTTGTATATGTGTTAGTGACATAAATATACTTTCAAGGTATTTTGTGATATGATATACTTAACATGGTTTTAACTTGGTTAAAATGGATTTTCCTTTGACTTTGCTTTACATGTAATGATATGTCCAAGATATCCCACACATTTAACTGGCACTGCATAATTTTCAACATGAAATATTTTGCAACTTTAAGTTTAATTCATTTTCTTATTTTATGCTACTGTTACTGCATATAATATTACATTTTATGGGCCTTTTTTAGCTTCAGTAATAAGTACAGGAAATATTAATTCACTACAATGTTATTTTTAAGAAGCTTTAATTAAGCCTGCTTCTATTGTTATAACAGCTTCTGTTTCCAAATTACTTCCTTGAATTATCGACAGATGGCACGCAAGACATTAACTTCAGTCAAATACAGCAGACAGGAATCTGGCCTGTTACATCAAAGGACACACACACAAAAATATTTCAGATAATTTGTTTAACGTAGCTCGGTTGGGAGCTCAGTCTGTTCGAGGAAGTCTCTTACACAGAAGCATCATTGAGGCTGCCTTTGCTATGTGCTGACACTCCTCAAAGGTGCTGGGTCCCCTCAACGCCCAATGGATGCAGCAGGAGAAGAGGGGAGCTCAGCATCAGAAAAGAGCTTGTTAGTACACAAGATAAGTCCCCCAGGCAGAATTTCCCTTCACTGACTCCAACTCTCAGTTTAATTATCTAACCTTTCGGTGAGCCTTTCCTTTAATGTTGCATCTGTAATGTCTCTCAGTGGCTATTCAATTGACCATCTGCTCTTTTTGCCATGGATGTTAGAAAGATTTACCATATAAAGTATTTGATCTAACCCTGCCCTCTTTAGCTTAATTAGGAGCATTACTTGGTGTTATATATACCCTTGATTAGCTCCTTAAATAAGTTTTTCCCCATCCTCTGCATTATTTCCTCTCTAATAACTGAACAAAGCTTGAAGGGGGAAAAATTATAATGGCTATGGAGAAAACAAGTGAGTAGTTGTAACGTTGCATGGCCACTTCTGTAAGGCAATGGATTGTGCCTGTAAATATGGGTATGTATTCACTTTTTTATTGCAAAAGAGATGAATTCTCAACTGCCTGATTTGCCTATATAAGTGTCTGTGTGTGCTCAGAACTTGAGGACTTGTGCTGCCACAGGCACAGTTGTATGCACAGGCAGAAACATATACAACCTGAAGCTGGGCCAAAGGACTCTGTTTTTTAGAAACAAAGGCATAGCTAGAGATGTACAGCTCAGGAAGGTGCCAAGAAAAGTGACAGATTTGTAGTTCCAACCAAACTGAGAGCAAAAGAAATTATTACAGGAGAAGAAAAATTCTAGACAAAGTCAAGAAGTATTAGAGAAGACAGAATGAGCTTGCACGCCGAGGATGGGTGGGAAAACTCCATTTTACAAGAAGAGATAAACTGTAGTGGATTCTGTGCATTCCTTTCCCTATACAATGTCCTAATTAATAAAATTAATTCATGTTAAACACTGCATATATTGGATATTTTGTCTTTTGCAAAGCACTTTTACTTTTTTTTTTACCTAAATCAATTGTTGATTATTAGTGAAATCAGTGTATAGGAACTGCTTATTATCTGCACTGGTAATTACTTCACTTTCTTTTTATATTGCACCTGCTTGAAAAAAACATGATTTGGTTTCTTTCACTCTGGGTATATCTGCACATGAAATTAGTGTGGCTGAATATACTCTGGTGCCATTTGCGCTTGAGTTTATTGCTCTTGGACTCAGTGTTTACAAGTGCACCTAGGACTGCAACAAATTGAGCTAGGGCAGTGTACAGCTAGCTGGCAGAGGGTCTGAGAGGTCAGCCTGTCAGCCCAGGGCTAGCTAGCAGGCTGCCCTACACTGTAGCACCCTTGTGCCCCAGCCAGCCCCAGTCACCATATACATGTGCTGGGGTAGAGAAAATAACTCCACCATAGGATAGTACTTGTGTTGGGCAGTATTATCCTATGGCAGAATTAATTAGTTTACTTTGGCCTAATAACACCGTATGTGTAGACGGCAATGCTTTACTGTGGAGCTAATTAGTCAACTCCACAGTAAAGCTCATGTGTAGATGCCCCCACTGACATTCAGAGAATCAATTTGTTTTTAACGTACACCAGCAGCCTGGTATGTGGGTGAGTAAAGCTGTCCTTTCAACCGTCCTCACAGCAGCATTACCCTGGCTGCTGTTGTCCCCTGCTTTACATATAGTAAGTTAGGGCAACAGTATAGGGGCGCAGCTGGGCACCTGGGGCAGCAGTGACATGCAGTTGTCTCTGTAATTGCAACTGCAATCATGTGGTTGCTGGCAGCAGACACTGAATTTTTGCACTCCTACTGTTCAAGTTGGCACCCAGGGTAGTTGACCCGGTTACTACTTTCTAGTTTCACCACTGTGTTAGGGTGTTATGGTTTCTAGTTGTATGTCAGGACTGACTGTGTAGTTTCACTAACAGGTTAGACAAGGATCTGTATGAGATGATTTGGATAGGGATGATCCTGCTTCTTGCATGGGGTGGAAGTAGATGACCTTCAGGGGTCCCTACTCTCTATGACTCAGAATAAAAATAAAGAATAAAACTAGGGAAAATATCATACACTGGCCAATTCAATATTACAGAGGTAACAGATTTTGAGATACTAAACTTATATTACTGTCACCTTTTACTATTCTATTGAATATTAAGGTTCTGTAAGAACTACTTTACGCTGTATATCAACTACTTTACATTCATTTAGTATACACTAATATGCTTCATGAATGAAAAATATTTACTTCTTTCAGTAGGTTATGATATAATCAGTTACCTTCTTTCCCTTCTGGTGTAAGTTGTATCAACTAGATTTGATAAGGAAACAAATCAGTGGCAACTATAAGATGTGACTAATCTTGTTAAATAACTTGAAAAAGGACTTGCCCACCTGCTTTTCTTTATACTTTACTGAATTTCTCTAGTTTCAGTGATGGTCCAAATTTTCAGCCTCCTAACTGATTTGAAGAACTGAATTTTCAAAAGAAGTATTATGGAACTAGCGATGGATTTTAGTATAACTGAAAGTCAATATACAACTTATAGTCAGCAATGAAATGAGACTGAAGTTAAACAGTGAACTAAGGTGGAATTGTGTAAGATTAATTCTAAGAATATAATCTTTAAATGTTTTCTGTAAGATTAATTTAGGCAGGCACAGCTAGCTATTCTGAAGCATGCATCTGTATTTCAATAAAAAACACAGGGGAATAAAATTGGCAAGAGGCAACACTAATTCCATGCCACCACCCTAAAACAGAATTGCTTCAGAATATTCTGAAAGACTGATAGTTGAAAGGAACAGAGGCTGCAGAAAAAGCTCAAGCACATAGTTACAACAATTACAAAGCAATTCATCTATGCCATGCAAGCACTCAGGTGTAAGGCTAAAAGAACAAAGTAGAACACAAAAGTTGTTTTAAATGTGCAGTATCAGTTCCCCTTTTGATAGTCAGATTGTTGAGATTTTTGTCATCATCCCCACTTTTAGCTGGCAGCCACTACACCAATAGCAAGTGGCTCCCTCCAGCAACAAAGCTAATGCTGCTTCTTGGATCATGCTGAAGAGCAGTGCAGCCAACATGCTCTCTCTCTCCTACAGACTGAGAATGTCACCTTCAGAGAGGGATCAGCCTCCACCACCATCAGGCCTGGGTTCTTGAGTCTGCTTCCAAACCTAAGTCTGATTTGTCTTGAAAGCTGCAGTAACACTATAAAAGTACAATAAACTACAAAAAATACCAGACGATTACACTGGATTTGTGTGCTGGATGTCTGAATATATTATTGGTGTAGATGATATCGTGCGACAGATCCTGCACCTTTAAAACTTGAAAAAGCAAGAACAAACAGTCACCTGAATCTATGCTACAGTATATTTATTTATAGGTATATATTGAAAAAGAAAAGCTAAATATATATATATGATTATATATATTTAGATATAAAATAGTAAAAGATTTGACAAGTCATTTTACAGTACGTAAGAACAAGTAATATATGTGCCTTGTAGTTTTTCCCAACGTATTGAATTCAGTAGAATTTAAAAATCTATATGCTTTGATCTGTAATCTCATCTCAGTTATTTAGGTGTAAATCTGGACTAACTCCACTATCTGCAGACAGTGGAATTACTTGGGATTTACATTCATGTCACTGAGAGTAGAGTTTAGTCTTTTGCCTTTACACATTTGGCAAAAAGTTATTTTTTAACTTGGAAACAGAAAGTTTTTCATTCCCCCTCAGAAATATTTAAAGAATAAAAAATTAGAAACAAAAATCCAATATTCAATGTTAGCTTAATTAGTACAAAATATGCTATTTCTCTTGATAAGTCTATGGAAATCAATTTTATGGCTAAGATATATTTTGCAAGCAAGCAAATTAACATAAAAATATTAGTTGTATTTTTCCTTTTAATCAAATAATACTTTTCTTATCTAGTTTTATATTATCTAACATAACAAACTCTAAATAAAGTTCTGTATATTTATTTTGGCATTCAGTTGTGCTCTCAGTTACATCAGAGTTCCAAAGTCTCACTCAATATTTCTATAAAACCTATTGGTTTCTTAACATGTGTAAAATCTAATGTGCAAAAATAGTATATTGTAAATTTTATATTACTCACCACCAGCTGGAGGAACAACTTGGTCAAGGAGCTTCATGCTGGTTTTCTTCCAGATTTTCTTTATAACTGCTCTAAGTTCTTCATTTGCTTGCTCTAGATTCCCTGCCGAGAGACAGGTACAATGATTATGTTATCTGAAACTTAGAAAAGCAGGAATGGGCAATTGCATTTCAGTTAACACTGCAATGAAAGATTTTTTAGGTCTTACATTAAACTGCTTACTAAAAATAAAATAAAATAAAATAAAGAGGCACTCAAAAGGTATAAAATTCTCTAGTTGGAATCCAGAAGAAAACAAGGAGATGTAGCTATTTACTTTGATTTATGCAAAAGCAGGAAAAGAATGGACAGGGAAAAGGATATTTTATTGGCTAGCATAAATACTTATTACAGCTGCATGGGCTAGCTGGGGGAGCAGGATCATTACACTGGATCATGAAAGAAGCGAGAAAAGGCTAAAGGGTTGTCAGTTTTTACGGACTTATGGAAGTTGGCTTCTGAGGCAGTTACCAAACTAGTACTTATTAAGCAGAGCAGAGAAGAGCAGTTGGATTCAACTTGCTTCTACTGTACAGTAGAAAGATCTCAGAAAGACCACAACAGATCAGAATGTTTTTGACACTATGGATTCCTACTTGAAATCTTGCGGTTTATCTTGTAAATCATATTAACAATACTTATATTCAGCAATTCTCAAAGGCGGGAGGCACCTGGTTGAGGAACTTACTCAGTCTTATGAGAAGGGAAGAACCACCAGAGTGAAACAAGTAAAAATTAATAAAATAAGTAGAAAAAATGAGAAGAAATAAGAAGCCAGGAAACTTCAAGAACACGAAGTAATGTTGTTAAACACAAATCACTACACCTTCAAACTAATGTCTTCTTCTAATGCCAGCTAGTAAAAACCTGCTACGCACATTCGGACTCAGCCTCCACAGCATATACCAAATACTTTTTTTCTCACCAACTATGGATCTGAAATTATCTCCAAGGTTTCATGAACCTCTGCCTCAACTTTATCTGTCTTCAGTCTCCCAGTCAGTCTCAAATCATCAAAACAAGAACAGAACACGAGGGCCACCCAGCTTAGGGAAAAGCAAGCTAAGTACAGGATCCATTTTGCTGGTGTCTTGCAGAAGGAGTTATGTGAAATGTTATCTCTCTGCAACTTTCTTCTCACAACACATCTTAATTCATGCAGTAATATTTTCACAACATGATCTCACCTTCTGTTTTGATCTTCAGAGCTGTCCTCACCAAAGCAAATAATGTAGCATTGAACATGACTGTTCCATCGCTGTTTAGTGGCATGTTCATGGCTACTAACCTCTGTAAATGGAAAATAGAATCATATATATTGTTTTTAATTCATTCTTGTGGAAAATACGCAGTGTGTGTTCATTTATCTCAAAAAGCTGACATGCATAAAGGAACAAAACCTGACAAGGGACACAGAAAAAAAAATCACACCTGTTAGCTTACACAAAGGCTTTAAGAGAGCAAGTATATCTGAAATCAACAATATATTTCAACTACAAACAATACGTATCTGATACATTTTGTATCTGATGTAACTAGATTCTTCCAGAAAGCTGAGACTGTTCAGTACTTTTCATAATTTCTTTACAAAGTTTATTGTATTTACTGACTTCTAATATGAGGGGTTTTTTCCCCATTTAAAATGGCAGGAAATACCCTTCATCTTAGAATCACATACAAGGGTGGGGGGAGTGGGGGGGGCATTGGTGGCCACTGTTGCTTGGGCTCCAGTCCCTATCCAGGGTTAGGGCCGTAGCCGCAGCTGCTGCATGCCTATTCCCTTCCCCACCCCGGTCACCTCTGCACCTGCAGCCTCTGCTCCCCAACCCACCTCTCTCAACCTTTCCTTGCTTTCCTGCATTCCACACATTCAGGTATTTAAGTAAATTAGCCTAACTAGGCTACGATGTAGCAGTTGTCACTACTTTGATCCAGTAAAAGCCACCTAATTCAACTGGCTCTGCTTTAGAGTAATCATCTAAAAACAGAGTCCCTGGCTCTGTTTTAGGGTAATCATCATTTAAATTTTTTAACAAGTAATCAGAGCAGTTCCTAGCAATCTCTCCTGACAACGGTATTTCATCTATCAGGATTCTTTTTCGTAATCTCTGAATGAGGTCTCCTCTATTCTGCTGCAAGACTGTGACATCTTATTACCTAATGCAAGTGGATTGAATGGGGGCACAGCATTTTACCCTGGGTTCTATCACAGACCTGTCATGTGACATTGGACACTCCACTTGAGCACTTCAGCCTTGCCACCTGTGGAATGGGTGTGGGCTATTACACAGTCCTCAGGGATGCTGTGAGGCTTATTTGCTTAGAGGAGTTGATCACATCCTTACTGACATCAGACTACCATTACCACCACTGTTACATAACCATTTCAAAACCCACAAATAAAATTAAACTATCATAATTCTCCTTGTCTCTTTTGTGTTACTTTGTGTGCATTTGTACACAGGTGGCATATCCTTCATATAACAAATGCCTATACTTATACTCTATTATCTCAGCCAAGCCTCATATCATCTTTGTCATCTTTCTCTGAATTCCCTTGAATGCATTATCCTTATTGTTTATTATTATGTACCATACTGTACAGTGTTCAATACTTTCCAATATTAATTCACATTTAGCCACATTCCTATGCTCTAGATGTGCTGTAACATCCCTGTGACTTGAATCTGAAGGATACTGTATTAAAATACGTTTATGCAATAAAATAAATATTTTGTCTCTGGGCATGAAGAGCAACTGGGAAGGATCTGGAGCTCAGAAGTGTGTCATTACAACACATATCTCCCAGTGCTGTTGCTGGACAGATGCATTTTATGAACCAATCCTTGCTTCAAGCTGTTTCTAAAATAAGGGAACCGGACTCTGATGGTCAGTTAGTCTAGGGACAGAAGTTGCACATATATTGATATAAGTGATCGGAACTCAGTTCAGATGTGTAACACAACAGAAGTTCAGTGCACATACACCACTTTCATAATGGCCCAAGCCAGTTTAAAATAATCCTGAATAAATTAAGTATCAGAATTAACTGATTTAGGGTCAATTGCTTTATTGAACTTCTGCCCCAGATTCCTTCCAGATTCAAGTTAACTCACAGTCCCCCAGCATCCCAGGATGCTTTGAACTTCCCCCACAAACCCTCCCTCGCAGGGAGGGTGGGATAGCCTTAGCCCAAGCTGACCGCTCCAGCTGAGAAGGGAGGCATGTTCCAGCATCCCTCCCACCCCCTCCCCAGCTTCTGGCCTGGGTCACTGCAGGTATGTGGCTGCATTTCCAGAATCAAAAGTGAATGTCTGTTCACTTGCTTATTGGTCCAATCTACAACCTGCAAAGATTGAATCGATTCAGTCTTGAACTTTTTGACTGCCTGTACCTAGCCTCAGACTTCACACTGGGTCCACATGACTGTTTCTATGCAAATATTAACAAATAAATTTTAAGAATCTCTGTGGGTTGAGAAGAATTCTATATAGAGAGGAAAAACCTGCTTCAGGGCAATTTTCCATTCCTTAATCAAGAAACCAGTTTTTGCCTTTATACGTAGATCTGAGTGGAGGACTGAGTGCAGGATATCTGAGAAGTCTGCCTTATGATGTATTGTGAAGAGTGAGGCCATTGTTATCATGTGCAGAAACTTGAAATTTACCAAAATAATTCAGGTTTTTTGTAAATCTGATGTCTCTGTTTCTTTGTTCAGGTAGAATATGAGGCATTACAGGAAGAGACTGTTGTAATATAAATATAAGGCTACTTGCAACCTCTGAGTTAAAAAATAAACTATAAGTAGGTTAAATATTTTTCTCATTATTTTGGTGAGTGTCCTTTTAAGAAGGCTATTAAAGTTCAAGAGACACCATCAAGTATGTAAAGTATATGATTAGGTATCCCAAATGACACAACTTAAGCTTTACTGAAAAAAAACATATTGGTATGCAGTTCTTTAGTAAAATTATGTCTTAACCAGCTTCTTGGAAATGCACAGAAATATGGCAACATCAAATATGGCAACAATAATAACAGTAATAATACATTTATACACCAACTTCTTTAACTGTGAACCCTATGAAGAGCTTTATATTCATGGAACATGATGGAAATAAATTTACCAAAACAACCAAAACTGACTGCAATGGGATGATTGACCTCTCATAAAACTGGAGTAACTCGGAGTTGAAGAAGAGCTCATATATAGCATGATCTTTTCCCCTTTGCAACAGAATTGGACAGGGCTACTAAAGTAATACAGAGCAAGTCTTCAGAAACATAGAAAAAGTAAAGAAAAACTACAAAGGGAAGTAATGTGAAACCTACCTTGCATGCCACTCGATGGGGACATAACTTGCCAAAGCCAAGTGGAGGCTGAATACGACGCAACAATGTAACTACATCAAGATGCTTTATTCTGCCCCTAGAATAAATACACTTCTTTTGTCATATCTGTTATGTGTCTCTGAAGACAATGCCAAGTTTCAATTCTATTATTTATTAGGCATATTTAACAAGGAAATGGTAGGACTTACTTTGCTTCAGGATCATACTCAGACCATATCCTTTTGAATTCATCCAAATGATGAGGTCCCAGAATAGACCAGTCACGTGTTAAATAATCAAAATTGTCCATGATGACTGCCACAAACAAGTTGATAATCTAAAACACAATTCAAAACGTGTTTGCTTTCACTCTGCTGACATATAAACCTATATGAAAGTAATTAACTTCAAGCAAAGCTAGAATTCAAACTGGTAGAATAATGTAAGTGGATGTTAGATTTGATAAATAGATTGTTTCATGCATATATTCACACACATACTCACACATACATATATATAAACATACACAAAAAATATTTTATGACCACAGAAAATGAATAATCGGTAGTCTGTGGAATATTCATAAGGACGTGATGCTGACACTTGGTATGCAGGGTTTTTATCAAATACCAACAATCACATAGTTTTAGTTTGTTCCCCAACTGAATGAACAGAGTTGTGCAGAGGCCATTAATAAGTCAAATGCACATATTAATATAGAATAGATATATACAACATAGATCTTAGCAAACAATTAATGTGATAATGCATCAAAATGATTGAAATTAAGGATACTGCACATATTCTGTTGACATAAATGATGATACAAAACAGAAAATGTTATTAGAAATCCATGCTGTTTGCAGTATATAGAGCTGTTAAGCCCCAAGATCAAGGGAACGGAGGATAAAACAAATCATTTTAATTCAATGATCAACAAAGCAAAGATCTCTGTGTGCATGTCTACACAAGATGCTATGTTGCTGCAGTGATGAGCTACAGCAATGTTGCTTGTTGCTACAGCGACATAGTGTCAGTAGATACAAGCAGTGATGCTGCTGCTACTGTGCGGTAGGGTCAGAAACAACCTGTGCAGTGCCAGGACTGCACAGTACTGGCGGTTACTGCTAAAGCAAGTACTGAATGACTGCACAATAACAACTGCACAGTTGGGTGCATGTATAGATGATGGTATATTTCAAATATTTCAGAACAAGTCTGACATATGAAAGAAGATTACAGCTTATATTTTACACTTCACAATTTGAACACATCACTCAGACCACTATGGAAGATTTGGACAACTGCCAAAATGTTAGTAGGTTTAAACAGATCCAAATTGGATCTTAGCTGTAGCATTCATTAATATTTAGTATTAGTATGTAATCACTTTTACTGAAATGGTAACTGAAGGCTGCAGTAAACCAAAAAGCCTGTTTACTTTTGTAAAATTGTAAACATCATTATTGTACATATGATTAGACTGAAATCGGGTACACCAAGCCGGAGTAACTGCATGCACATGAGCAGCTCCTGGTGGAATTTAGTTTCTAGTTCAAACTACAGGATCTAGGACTTCTTATGAAAAATGTACCTTTGAAAATGGACTATTGATCTGATTGTTTATTGTTAGTTTCCTGTCAAGTCAAAATGCTAAAACGTATTTCTGTTTGTAAATACAAACTGAACTCACCAAAAATGCACAGAGCATATAAAAACTGATGAAATAAATAATGGCAAAATTGCTTCCACATGTGTATTCTTCCCCTGGATTATAATCAGATTCTGGATCACAGCGCTTTCCAGGTAGACAGGCCAGCATAATTTCCTGCCATGCTTCCCCAGTTGCACACCTTCATTAGAGCACAAATAAGACAAGATAAATCTATTATTATCAAAAATGAGTTCTTCAGACCTAAGATCTGACAATATACTTGGAGTTATACAGCCACAACAGTTGAAGGGATGTGGAAAAGTCTTCAAAACATGAACTAAAACAGGGGTGGGCAAAATACGGCCCGTGGGCTGGATTCGGCCCACCAGGCCATTTTATCCATCCCATGGGGCCCCTAAAAATTTAGAAAATTAATATTTATCTGCCTCTGGCTGCCTGTTAAAGATGATAGGAGCCAGGGGCAGTAGGACCCAAAGGAAGCCATGGCAAAAGCCTACAACAGCAAGGCCTACCTGGCCCAGTTCCTGCCTACCTGCCTGCACCCAAGCAGGAGATTTGGGTAAGGGGAGGGGAGGCGGGGGGCAATTGTCCCAGTCCTCAGGGCCAGGCCAGCTCTTGCTAAGTCTGGTCTGGCCATGCAGCCAGGAACCATCTAGTGCAGAGTGGCCAGTGGGCAAGCCACCCTGGCTCTCCCCTGCCTCCCGCCACCAGGCTACACTCTGAGTGGCTCTGCCAGCCCCACGGACCTCAACCCAGTGGCAGAAAGCAGCAGGAGAGGCAGTGGCACAGATGCTCCAAGCACAGCCCTGGCCCCGAGTGGAGCCCTGCTCTCCACTGCCTCCCACCGCCAGCCTCAGCTCTGTGGGGCTGTGGAGCCTCCAGCTGCTGGGCTGTGCTCACTAGGGCTGTGCTCGGAGCCAGGGCTGTGCTCTAAGCTGCTCCGCCAGCCCCACGGAACTCTCAGCAGTGGGAAAGCCAGAGGCGGAGCCATTCGGAGCGCAGCCCTGGTGAGCACAGCCTGATGCTGGAGGCTCCACAGCCCCACAGAGCTAAACCTAGCAGTGGGAGGTGGCAGAAAGCCACTGGCCAGGGCTGCATTCGGAGCAGCTCCGCTACTGGCTCTCCCATTGCCTTCTGCCACCAGGCAGAGCTCCATGGAGCTAGCAGAGCCACTTGGAGCACAGCCTGGCAGCTGGAAGTTCCACACCCACAAGGAGCTGAATCTGGCAGCTGGAGGTGGCGGGAGGCAGGGGAGAGCCACTGGCCAAGGCTGTACTCGGAGCCAGGGCTGCACTTGGAGTAGCTCCACTACTGTCTCTGCACCACCTCCTGCCACCAGGTTCAGCTCCATGGGGCTGTGGAGCCTCCAGCTGCCGGGCTGTGCTCACCAGGGCTGTGCTCCAAGCAGCTCCTCCAGCCCCATGAAACTCAGCCTGGCGGCAGGAGGCAGTGGGAGAACCAGTGGCAGAGACGCTCTGAGAGCAGCCCTGGCGAGTATAGCCCAACGGTGGGAGGCTCTGCAGCCCCATGGAGCTGAGCCTGGGGGTGAGTGGCAGCAGAGAGCCACTGGACAGGGCTGCCCATGGAACCAGGGCTGCACTCTGAGTGGCTCCACCACTGGCTCTCCTGTGACCTCCAACCACCGGGCTGAGCTCTAGTCCAAGTGCTGGCGGAGCCGCTCCAAGTGCAGCCCTGGCAAGCACAGTCTGGTGGTGGGAGGCTCTGCAGCCCCACGGAGCTGAGTCTGGCAGCAGGAGGTGGTGGGAAGTGGCAGACAGCCAGTGGCAGAGCCACTCAGAGTGCAGCCCTGGCTCGGAGTGCAGCCCTGGCTTTCCCCCACCTCCCGCCACCGGACTGCACTTGGAGCAGCTCCACCAGCCCCACAGAGCTGAGCCTAGTGGTGGGAGGCGGAGGGGAGCTACTGGCCATGGCTGCACTCAGAGCCAGGGCTGTACTCTGAGTGGCTCTGCCACTGGCTCTCCCTCCACCTCCTGCTGCTGGGCTGAGCTCCGTGGGGCTGGCAGAGCCACTTGGAGTGCAGCCCTGGCTCTTCCCTGCCTCCCACCACGAGGCTGTTTCAAAACTCAAAATGTTTTGAAACTTTTTAAATGTTTTGAGTGCCCTCATTTTGTTTTGAAGCTGTTTTGAAGCCTTATGTTTCATTTCTATTTTGCTGTTTTGAGCTTGAAACACATTGAAACAGGTTTGAAATGAAACACCTGTTGAAATTTTGCAAAGCCCTACTAATCATCAATAAGGACAGGATACCTTACAGATATCAGAACTCCAGTCTTGACATTAGTGTCTACATGGAAGTGATCTGACCCTCCCATATCAGCTGAAACCCGCATAAGTCTCGGATTAAGACTGAGACTGATAATACCCTATTATTTTCATAGCTGATAGCTAAGCAAGACTGTGCGCCCAAATGAAGGAATGTAGCTCCTTGATCTGTGTGTTAAAATGTGGCATATTTATGAAAGGTAGAAAAAAAACCTTCCTTTTTTCAAATTTTCCTTTAACATTGGCCATTTATTTGTCTTGTAATAAATCAGCTTCTCTACTCAGTTGTACCAGCAGAATCCAACAGGAGGCATGGATATCATATACAGTTGTATGGGTGCAGTTAAAACTGCCTACTCTATTTCTGTCTTTAGAACACTCATGATCTCAAAAGTACATAGGACAAGTAAAGATATAGGAAACATTTAAAAGTTTGAATAGAGATGACTGCTAGTTAATAATGCAGACAGGGTAAGTGTTACAACACACCCAGAAAGATTAGAAAGAGCACAGTTTGGTACGTACATTAGATAAGCTGAGGCATTCTATCCCTGGCAGAAAGCAATGGAGCAAGTTGATCATTCAGAAGTGCGGAAGGAGATAAAAACCATTCCTCCTTATCTGCTGCATGTCTGCTACCACAAATGATTTTATGTTGCTATTCATGTTTTGCCCAAAGTTTCTGGCCCAGGGCTTTGATGGGGTCTGACAGCAACTACGTTACTCTCTTCAGGACAGGGGAGCACCTTTCTTGTTTTCCCCACATTTTCAGGTGTCGACAGAGCTGACTGGTAGGTGTGGGGAGTGGCATCTTGATGAAAGGGTGCAATTTTGTGTCTTTTTCTCTCTGTTCATTGTAGCTTCATGGGCTGCACAGATATTCTAGCAGTCACCTCACTCCAAGTTACAATTCAAAGGTGACCTCCAAGCACTATTTGTAGCTTCATGCTTCCCTCCTTTGGGCTGGTTTCCTAGGGTATATCTGGCAAATGGGTTTTGCTTGTTTTTATTTCCTAAATTAACTAAAACAAGTTGGGGTTGGTTTCCAGGGCAGATTGTAGATTAGCACCGGTACACTTGGGGCCTCCAGCCTCAGCTGGGAACTGGACTTGTAGCTCATGCTTTCAACTAATCTGAATTCAAACTGACAGCAGAGCACACTTATTGTCTGGAGTATTTTAAATGTTTGATCAGGAACCATCACACTTGTTATCATATCTAAATGACTGTCCCTAACATGGACCCAGATCTTCTTCTAGATAACAAGCTCTCTCACTATTCAAAGTCACAAAGGCAGTGCCATGAAGTGTCACATAAACAACATAAAACATGAGCACATGGAACACTGAAAAAGCTGTTGCTGATTCCTAATTTTTAGGGGGTAATCACAATTTCTAGGGTTAAACTACGATACAGGGCTGTTATCATACACTGGGAATAAGCCAGAAATGTATCACCAAAGGAGGCATTCTGTTTCAGGGATTCACAATGACTCCTGGTGCTCCTGTCAAACACAGCTGTTGTGACCCCTAAAAGAGGATAGAGTATGGGTTCCAATTCCTTTTTGCAGAGGCCATTGCCAAGAGGTGCTAGCCAAGAGGATATACTATGCTGTCATTCTGCTTGACATCCGTGTGCAAGGAGAACAATGGGGACATAATCTCCTTTCTATCTCTTCTATGTTCACTCAGGACCTCTAGCCTTTAAAGCAGGGGTGGGCAATTATTTGGGCCCAAGGGCCATATAGGGAGTTTTGATGAGCTGTTGTGGACCAGGTCTGCACTCCACTTACCCCCCTCCCCCAACTCACCAAAACTCCCTGTGGGGCTCTGGGTAGGCAGGGAGCAGTGTTTGGGAGAGGGACAGTTGTGATCTGTTCCCTGCACACCCTGCCCTGTGGGGAGGAGGAGTGGTGGAGGCTGTATGGGGATGTGTGCGATGGGCAGGGGGTGCTACCTGGGAGCTAGCTGGCGGTGAGGGGAGGAAGAGGCAGGGGATGCATTCAGCAGAGCTCACCCAGTCGGCGGCTGCTCCCATGACACTCAGAATGGGGCTGAGCCCCATGTAGGGCAACCTGTGCCATGCTCCCACCCATACCTGCTGGCCTTGGCTAGCGTGCAGCTTCTAGCAGGGCTGCTCCTAGTGCAGCTGCAGCTGGCCAGGCTGGTCACTGTGAGGCAAGGGGAGCAAAGCAGCACCCAGGTGGCTGAAGCCGCACCAGGAACAGCCCCACCAGAAGTTATATGCACCTGGGCCTGGGTCCAGCCTGGTGGGGCTGTTCTTCTCCCCTCGCCTCCAGTTATGGCTGCTGCTCCTGCTGCACCGTTCCTTGATTAGTAGCCACTGTGGCCAGGTGAAGCGGGTGAAAGACAGTCAGAAGCTGGAGCCAGAGCTCCACACACTGGGCAGAAGCTGCCAAGCTGAAGTTCCTGCCTGCCCAGAGAAGCTCAGCAGGGGCAGGAGCAGCAGCACCAGCCATAGCTGGAGGCAAGGGGAGTAGAAGAGTCCCACTGACCCAGACTCCAGCCAGCACATGCAGCTTTTGGTGGGGCTGTCCCAGTGCAGCTGCAGCTGGCCAGGTGCTGCTCCACTCTCTTCCCCTCTAGCAGCAGCTCCTCCTCCTGCCCCTGCCCCTGCTGTGCCACTCCAGCTGGGCAGGAGGGAAGCTTCAGCCAGGCGACTCCCATTGGAGGTGAGGGGAACAGAGCAGCTTCTGGCCAGCTACAGCCACGCTGGGAACAGTCCCACTAGAAGCTGCACACTCACCAGGGCCCAGGATAGTGGGAGTGTGGCATGGTCTGCCTTGGTGGGAGCAGGTAGGTCTTGGCCCCATGTGGAGCACTATGGGGGCAGCCACAGGCTGGATCCAGTCAGTTGGCAGGCTGGATCCAGCTCATGGTCTCTATTTTTCCCACCCCTGCTTTAAAGTATGAAAAAGACTACATAATACTTCCTGCTGGGTATTTTTTGCAGTGACTTCCACAACAGATAAGAGGATTTTAGATTATTCTTATGCATCTCTCACACATTTCTAGGACTATTCGGTGCCAGTATACTGTAATCATATTTCAAAAAGGATTACATACTTATCATATTAAATAACCTCAGCCTTTCAAACAGCTGTTAAGCAAATCTACATGCACAAGTTGAAAGCATCTTCCACACATCAGTTTTGGAATCAGCGGGCATTAACAAGGGCAAACATTACAATACACTTACCTGAACAGCAGCAACACTGCCTGGGGGAAAGTCTGGAAATTGTTATTCCTGTTAATTTGATTATTGTCTCTCATGGCAACTTTCCCAAAAACCTGCAGGCAGAAATGGGTATCAAAGAATGATATCACCTGATATCATTTTGTCCAAATGTACAGTAGGCATAATTCCTGCAGTTCAAATTGCCCTCAATGCTTAAAAGAAGTCCACTTTCATATGAATAACAATTGCTTCAGATTGTCCCTAGTAAGAAGGCAAATTTGACAAGATGCAGTAAGGGTGGTGTACTTGCAGAATAGTTATTTAAGCATTTAGTGTGTCATTTTCTAAATCAGGTATGCATCCTCCCTTGTTCTACTTCAGATTTTATTATTTATCTCTATTATTTGTATTACCCAGTGTCTTGAGGCATCAGCTGAGGTTAAGTCCCCATCATGCTAGCTGTTGTATATATTTACAGTAAGAGATCATTCATGGCTTGGAGAACTTACAATCTAAATATACAAGACAGATTTTGACTTGTGTACTAAGGTACAGGGACTTTAAGTGACTTGCCCCATCACATAGGCAGTGGGAGAACTGAATCCATGTCTCTTCAGCTATAGTCCAATGCCTTAACTACAAGATCTTCCTTCCTTATACTCCCTGCATATACTCCTTTCTGTTCAAGGATGGAGGATGTTTGAGAACCAGAAAGCAAAGTCATTTTATGCAACATGTTCCCAACCATGCCCCTCAAACCATAGTTGAGGCTTTCCTCTGTGCTAAGTTGTTCCAAACTTTTATGTCTTTGGGGATGTAGGAAATCACCTAAGAACTTCTGCACATGGCAGTGCTTTTATTAGTATGGACACAGCCACAATGTGATTGGAAAGAAGAGAAAGGCAGGCAGTGGGTATGCAGCATAACTACGGAATCTCTCTCTCTATATATAAAGGGCTTAGTCCATCTGTCGGTGTGTCCATCTGTGTGTCTGTCCCTAACGCTCTTTGGGGGCGTGGCTCCCAGTGGGGTGTGGCTCCAGCCAGTGCTACATCAAGAATGGCCGTCAAGAATGATGGGCAGGATGTGGCTCCAGCAGAGCAGGCCAGGTGGACATGGAGCAAGGGGAGATAGGGCATGGGGCGGCACATGGCCGGATGCGGAGTGGCAGCAGCACGGGGAGTGAGGGGTGGCAAGCACAGAGCGTTGAGTGGCAGCAGTGGTGGCTGTGTGTAAGCTCCCCCCCCGGCACTCCTGGGAGGCAGCAGGGGCACAGGGTGGTGGGTGGTGGTGCTCTGTCCCCGCCTGTTCCCCCTCCACCTCCATCATTCTTGATGGGCAATTCTCTAGTAAGGTATAACTTCCTTGCAGAAAGTAGAGACCCGAAAAGAATGTTTCTTTCAGCACTTACAGCCTTGATGGCCCTCCAGCCTTACTACCCTCTTGAATTAAGGCACCTCCCTTTGAGCAGACTGATTCTTGGATGTGGCACGTGCTCATAAGGAACATGCACTCAGACAGCAACCTGAGCCTGTATCCCAGCCCCTGTATCAGGGCACTTTTACACGTGCTCCAGGGGTGGTGCTTTAATTAGACTTGAACTAAAGCTCATTTGATGAGCTTTAGATAAAGCACCCCCCCCACCATTTTTAAGTGTGGGGACGCTGATACACAAAATGCAGGAGGCTGCTGGAGTGTGCTAGTGGCCACACTCCAGCAGACACAAATGGAGTCTGCTCCAATGAGCTGGAATTCAGTGTCTCCACGTGCTGCGTTCTGAAGTCTGTACAGACTCTTTCTAAATGCCAACTCTATTCTCCAACAAGAAGTGAGATGGTAGCATAAAGTTATGGCAGAGTTTCCTGCTAGCTCTCCAGAGGTGGTGAGACCAGCTCCTCCTGTCTGACCTGTTAGCTCTACTTCACCTTCTCAGACCTATGGCTGACCTATGCAGTTAACAGCTTTATACCAAGTTATATCATGAGTTACTACAGGAAACCCTCGATATTTGCGGATTTGGCATTCACGGTTTCAAATATTCACAGTGCACCAAATATTCCCTACACAGCATGATGACACTTTGTTACAGTGCCGGCGGCGTCTGCAGGAGCTCTGTACTTGCCACCGCTGCCTTGCTCCTGCCACCACCAGCACAGCCATGCCCCGCCCCAGCCGCCAGGGACACACACCATTCGTGAACGCAGACAATGTTCATGAACGCAGTAGAGTATTTGCAGATTTTGCCATTCATGGGGATCTCTAAAATATATCCCCCGTGAATGGCAAGGGTCTCCTGTACTACCCTTTCTCTGTTTTCATACACCACCTAGACTTAGCACACCATTTGCCAAACTCCAACCTAAGATCCTTGCATGCTGTATTTTATTGTGTGACAGTTGGAATTACCTGCATTCCGATTACAGCATAGATGAAAAACAGCATAGCTATCAGAAGAGCAACATATGGCAGAGCCTAAAACAATGAAAAAGACCTTTATTATTTTTTGGTAATTTTGATATGGATAATTTTTTTCCTGAATTCAGCTGCATCACACAGATTTATCTAATATTTCACTTCAGAAAAAAAGTTTTCAAGTCATTTGTCATTTTCAATACTCTTTCATGTACAGTGGGCATGCAATTAGAGCTTATGGTCTAAATCTCTCCTGTGAGAGATTTGTTATGCACAGAACAAGTGGGCAGAGGCAATGAGGTAACAGTAACTATGCACTGATTGCAAAGGCAGACCTGCTAAGGCCCTTGTCCCAGTGTAGTTTAGAGCAGTTTGGAAGCTGCTGTAACTTCTGCCAGTGAGACATTCATTCTTATTCAATCATATGGCAGTTGTGAATTGAGACAATGCAGTTGGGCTTCATATCCTCCTACTCTTGAGATACAGCTTTCCCCTCTGCTCTCAGAAGAGAGAGGCAGTTTACGCTAGATGAGAGCTTTCCTATACTAAAGAAATTCTAAACTGCCCGCCAGTTCTCTACTTGTGCATTTACAGACGTACCTTTGTCTGCTCCGACGCACCAGAAATCCAGCGCATCAGAGCAGACTCAATTAATGAAGTCCGTGGAGCATGCAACTGATGCACCTGGCACTGCATCACATGCATTTGCATCAATGGCGAAATGCGCGTCAGCACTAAGAAAACAGTGGTGGTGTGCTTTGAAACTAAAATCTAAAATATCTTCAATGTGTTTTAATTCAAAAGTGTACCATGGTCCTTTTGTAAGCGCTGATGTGCATTTTGCCATTTATACAAATGTATGGGACACAGTACCAGACACTTTTAAAAATGCCCAGCACTGCACTGAATGCATGTGTACAAATGTCCAGACTTCACATTCATTACGGTTTGCATGATAAAGATCAATATGGGCACATCTACACATGCTGATTTAAGGCACTTTAGCCTGATTTAAGGTGCATTAAGGGCACGTGTCTACACGTGTGTACCTTTAATGCACCTAAAAGTGTCACTTTTAGATTATTTGTGACTAAATTTGACACCTGCAAAAGCAGATATCAAATAGGGTACAAATAGCTAAAATGCATTAATGCACATGTAGATGCATTAAGGTGCATTAACTCTGTGTATGGACTGACATGGGACTAACTTTAGTCAGTCCATGGGACTAACTTTAGTCCCATGTCAATCCAGCTCTGTGTATGGACTGACATGGGACTAACTTCAGTCCCATGTCAGTCCGTGCACACAGCGTTAATGTGCTTTAACGCATGCATGTGTAGACATTAGTAAATCACCTTAATGTGCATTAAGCTAATGTGCATTACATTTAGGCACGTGTTTAAATGCACTTAAATGCATGTGTAGACATGCCTTATATGGTTAAAATCTCTTTTACATAACTGTAACATTTGAAGATTCACAAGTCTTCTTCTAAGACTTTCTTTTTCCAACATGCCATCATCTGGCCTGTTTGCCACGTTTACTGTAGAAATATTATCTACATAAATATATCATTCTGTTCAGTTTACTGTGCAAGTGAACAGAAAAATATCTAAAGCCACTTTTACACACTAGAACATTTCTAATTGTCACTATAACAGACAAGATTGCAAGACTACGGGTGAAATCTTGGACTTCAACATCAGTCACAAAACTTCTACCAATTTCAGTGGGAACAGGATTTCACCTAAGTCCTCTCATTTTCATGTAATTGCCGGTAAATCAATTGCAAGAGAACTATCTTTACTTTCAATTAAAAACAGATTTAAGGTGAGTTTACTGACCTGAAATGACTTAATAAATGTCCACAATAAAGTTCGGATTCCTTCACCCCTACTGAGAAGCTTCACCAGTCGCATCACCCGGAAGAGACGGAAAAAAGTGATGGAGATTCTAGCGCTGTCTTCAGAGTTCTGAAGGGTATCATGGAGAAGTCAAATCAAATACAGAGCACGGCATGCAACACTTTCAGAAACAACATCAAATGCAAAGGTAAGAGAGGTAAGATTTGAAAAATGTATCTGTAGGGCCTTTTCATGTTTATAAGCACGATATGAAAGGAAAAATTACATGCTAAGAACACAGGACCTTTAGAAATGCCTCACACATCACATGCATTTCCAAGTTTTTCAAGTTTGTTAATAGGATCATGTTGGGTTTGTTTGTAGCAGAGTTCAATAGTACATTGACAATGAATGCAAACCACTGCATACACCTTTCAAGTAGGAGAGTTATGAAGAATACAGAAAAATCAGTGGAAGATTTAGACATGGTAAAAGAATAAACTCAAGTAGAGATAAAACCACTGGGGTCACTTTACTAATCTTACCCCAGACTCATCAGTTGTGACTGTTTCAGTTGGCTTTGGCTTTAAAAAATTAAGAATATTACATATTAAAATAAAACAAAATCAGTGTTACCATAAAAAGGAAGAAGGACATTTTTTATTTCTAAATGTAAATTAAGCTTTTTTTTTTTTTTTGAAAAATTGTATACTTCTTGGATATTCTTATTTAAAATGCCTTTCAGCATTTCATATTGCATTGCTGATGGAATCATACACAAAGCATACTATGAAAAAGCTGGAAAATAAAGAATAACTAGAATAGGGCCTGTTTCTACTCCTAAATCAGCCAATGAGAGCTTTGCCATTGACTTCCAGGAGAGAAAGATGCTTCACACTGTGGAAATAAACAGTAAATAAAACTAGAGACAAAAGCTTTTGTCAAAGCTGGATTTCTCAGTCTCTTTTACAGTACTCTTCTTTGAGGTTTAATTAATCATTCACTGGTTTGTCCAACCATATGCAAATAATTAGACTTTGATAATATCATGTTAAAGTGAAGTGACTCACTGAGCTATTTAACCATATTATTCGCTGCTCAATATTCTGCTTGGCGGTGCCTAACTACCCTGCTACAGAGATAAGCTATCATTCATAGCACAGTTGATATTTTAAGACTGCTTCTGTTTTAAGCTTTGTTGCTGATGAAAAAGAACTGTATTCTTATCCAGGCAGGTTTTAAGTTTGATTTTTAAATGGGTATGCTAGAACTTAAAGGAACAAATGCTATCCGGAATAGCTCTAACAACTTACATGGGATCAAACACAGGTCTGAAAACCATGGGTAAAATTCAAGGCTAGACTGACTTCCATCTATACAAGGAAGTGAAAAACCATGCAGAGATTTCACATGTGGAGTTTTCCCCGGACAGTCCCCTGAAATGTATAAAACTTTCCACGTGTCCCTCATTTTAGGCCTCCCTGGCAAAAATAAAAGTCAAAGCTTATTCCTGAAGATGAGCAGAAGTTTCACTTTTGGAACCCACAGATCCCTAGCAAATTCATGGACACTACTCACAGCTTCCCTGAAGACTGGGCATGCTGCTCTTCCTGGAGTTTTTAGGTAAGGAAGGATGCACTACAATAGAAGCTGCTACAAACTTTTTGAAGGCTCTCCTAATGAGTTTCCCCTCATATGGCTCTATCTTTGTACTCACCTCTCCACTTGTGGCTCCCAAAGCTACAGTGCTTACCAAAAAGAATGGTACAATTAATTTCTCCTGCAGCACAGGATCCTCTCTGCTTGCAGCTACTGGGCCCCAATCCACCCATCTGTTCACAATTACCCATGGACAATTTTGCTGACGTCAACAAGACATTTTGGGTCTGTCTGGTTTGCAGACAATGAGGTTAGATGGGATAAGGGAAAGCAGAATTTTCAATACCATGTTCAAACCTTTTGTTGCACAGGTGAGGGACACATTCTGCCTAAAACTTATTCTGTAACTTTTACAAAGTGCATTTTTAGAACCCCTAATATATGGGACTTTTTATTCATAAGGCAAGATTCAGCTCTTAATATGCTTAGATGTGCTGGAGGGATGCATATGGGCCTCACTACAGGTGGATCCCCTGGAGGAATAGTGGTGGCTGTGTCCTAGATTCTTCTAGGAAACCATGTGCTGAAGTAGAACCGCTGGGAAAAGTGCAGGATGCTCCACAGTGCACTGTACACCTGATGCACCTCCTTTCAGTTGGTTGATATCCAAGAGGTCACCAGGAGGCATGCAAGAGAAGAAGCCAGCCTACATGCATACCCTAGTCATCTACAGTGCTTTTGCATTAAGGCTGGTACAGAAAGGTGTGTCTCTGTATGAGCAAAGATTGCAGGCTCATCTGGAATAACACTGTATTATTCCAAACAAGCTGTATGGAGGACAGAGGCTCATGTAACCCCCCTTCTTTTCACTAAGACAACTTCTGAGGCCCACAGAAAAGAATCCCAGTCTCCATTTTTCTCAGTATTTCCCAATCCTCTCCTTGCAGAAACAGCCTTGCATATTTAAATGGTCATAAGCCTACGTGAAATGATTCTTAGATCTGAATGCAACAGGCTTTCATTCTGCATCAGCAGGCCAAGCCACCCTCTCCCCACTCTCTCCCCACCTACTGGAAAAGTCCCTGGCTCCTACCCTAGGGGTCTTTAAGACAAGGTTTGACAATCACCTTGCTGGGCTCGTTTGACCCCAGTACTCTTTCCTGCCTTGGCAGGGGGTCAGACTTGATGATCTGCTCAGGTCCCTTCTGACCCTAGAAACTATGAAATTATGAAACTATGAATTTAGAATTTAATAGAGATTAGAATAAGAGGGTCTGATAGACATTTGCTAAGAATCTACAGGTGGTTCACTAAAAATCTACTGCAAATTTAATAATCATCTGTATTGTGGCTGTAGCAGGGATCTAATAATTTATTACAATTGGAAGGAAGTCCAACAACCAGGAGAAATGTTTTCAAGTTCTATTAATTTCTCTAGGATTTTCCATAAAGACACACACATTTTATATAAAATGAATCTATAAGTTCAGAGTGTCCTCTGAGGAATCATCAGAACAAATCTTGGTCTTCACTACAAAAACATTAAACTGACATAACTATGCCAGAGATCCTCCTGGTTGGGATGCATCTTATACCACCAAAAAGGAGTGGTTTTGCTTGCACGAGTTATTCTAGTTCCCTGAACAAAATAGGCTACACTTACAAAGACGTTTTTTTGTCAATATCTACAGGAGGCCTTTTGCTAATAGAAAAGTGTCATTAAAATGGCATCCAGAACCAGAAGAATACATGCGTATATACATGGCTGCTCTGTAGGGTTCTGGTAATTTCTGAAATCTAAAATATAGACTCCAAAACAAAGATTCTAGAGTATCTACAGGTTATTTAAAGGAATGCTACCTAATTGCTACATGCTACATAAATGCTAATTGAGGACTAGATTCTGTCCTCAGATATCTGAACAAACGTCATTAAATACAGCACTTTGTAAAATCAGATACAGTGTCTACATGCTTTAAGCATTTGTAAAAAAACACAAGAAAGAGGTTAAAAGAACACTGATGTAAGATAACTACTGTATCAGAAGCTCACTGAATATTTTAAAAAGTAGAAGTGAACCATGCAAATATAAAACAAAAATATCATGAAGGATCATTTATTTCAGAAATAAATCAATAAAGTAACTTACTTAAATCAACCACAAATCCATACCGACATGTGTGGCTCATCAAAATATCAGTATGGTTGTTACTTATGGAAATAATGGCTTTCTTTGACAAAAGAGACCTAGCACTATGCCAATTCATGCCACTTAGCTTTCTCACACAATGCTGATTTTGCCTCCATTTAAATCAGTGGGGGATTTTCTACATGCTTCAATGGGAGCAGGACTGGGCTCCAAATATACAAGTAAAAGGATTAGGATATTAAAGTCCAATAGGAAATATAAACATTAGCTCTGGGGGGATTGTGTTTAATAACTTTTTAATACATTTAGTTATTGAAAATGATGTACAGGGAAGTAAGATACTTTTCAATATTGATGATTAAAGATACTATCCATGGCTACTGTATTGGAGAGTAGTTTTGAGAATCCACATTTTCTACATATTATCACTTCAATTACCACCCCTGAATGGCAAGACTGAGATTTTATTAGATTGCCAAATGTGTACAGTACTGCTGCAGGTACTCAGGAGGAGGTAGATATAAGATCCCTTAAGATTTTTTGTCCTGTCTAAAAGTCAATGGACATATTTGTATATGCATACAACCACTTCTCATAATTTACCTTTTCACTAGTTTCCTTAGGATACGTGATCTTTATCCTCTGTTTATGACAGCTAATCTACTACTGTTAGAGAGGATTATGATATCATAGACAAGAAATTATGAATTATAGATACTGGTGAGAACAAGTCAGGGCTGAAAGGGAAAAATATGTCTTCTTTACAAATAGTCACTAGTGTAGAGCTGGGGTCACTGAAATACACTTCTGCTGAAATGTTGTTTTTCACCTCATGGGGGCAAAAACCTTCAACTTCTGGCCCTCCGAGGCCAAGTACTTTCAATACCAAAGCTTTAAAGGAAGAGCCTTTTGTATCCAATCTCTCTCTCACACATTTGTAACGTCAGTTACTACATCATCTAGGTATCTACTCCAATTAATGGAACTATGCACAGCGTACTAAAGATACATCTATAAGCAAGAAGTTCACTGAAAAACAAAGATTTTGGGCAGGGCACAATGTGATCCTTTTAACCAGGGTGCGAGTTTGAAGGACTATTTCCTACAAGCACCCTGTTTGTTACAATGTGCATCAACTGTTCTGGTTTAACTAGTAGATTATAGTAATCCAACTTCCCAAAAACCATGAGCATTGCCTGCTATACCACTGCTAGGTTTGGTAGGTTTTGTGTATTTGAAATTACCAACTGTACTAGATTACAGCAACATGTCCCCAAGGAGACAGGCACATATCTCCAGGGACTGCAATCCAAGATGACTGCACATAACTCAGACTTTCACTTCCTTTGAGGTTTGGTTTACCTGTATTACAACATCTGTT